ACAACTAGACTGAAGAACAAAACGACAGCAACTTGTCTGTTCCCCTTCCCCCAATTCCCCAATAAAAATCTTTAAAAAAAAAAAAGAATGAATTCTGGTTTTACAACAACATACACGCTAAGTGGTTTTTGATGTCAAAAAAATCTCTCTGAGCCTGTTTCATGTGTAAAATGGTGTTAATGATACTTAACTTGGAAGATTGTTGTCAAAATTAGTGGTGAAGAATAGAGTGAAGAAATAAAATGGAGTCACTATAGTCAAGCTGCTAAATTACTAAAATCAAGTAGGTTGAGGCATGAGGAAACAATTCTAGCCTTGTTTTAACTAGCCCGGGAACTTAAACTTTTGAACTTTCCAGTCCTGTATCAATGCCTGGATATGCACCAAACCTCCAAATAACCCTCTGATTACTCCATGAAGGACTAAGGAAGAAAAGTTCACATATCCAGACCACCTAACATCCATTATCCAGATCATTGGTCATCTAGAGGATTACCATCTTGCACCAATCCAGAGGCTAAAACCATAGAACTGATTCATCTCAAGATGTACTTTTTATTATAAAAACTTGTAGCTTTTCTTTCTTCCTCGGAACTCTCTGGGTATGGTCTAGTTGTGTTTTCGGCTTACAAACCCTAAGATCCTTGAATAAGTCTTTATCGTTTATTTCTAGCCAAAGCCTCCAGACTCTTCAAGTTTAACAGTGGTTACATGTATAAAAGAACTACCCAGTACCTGGCACACAGTAGGTGCTCAATAAACAGTGGCTGTCATTCCTGTTATAAGTAATAATGATAGCAACAGAGACATGACTACTAATTCTGATCCTTTTCTGTCCTTCACTTTTAGGGAACCAATCTTTTTCCTGCCCTCGAAGTGGTACAGGTACAAGCTCCGAGTTACATTTCTGGGAGAGGGAGAAGGTATACCCTGTCCTCTGAGTCATACCACGGGAATGACCAACTCTTCCCCATTTACCCAGGACTGTCCTAGTTTTTATAGCATTGGAAGTCCCAGTCCCTGCAACTCCCTTAGCCCTAGGATGATTGACTACAAGCGGCAGCAAAAACTAAAAGTCTGTGGGTCCAAGTGTAGACTCTGGCAGATTCTCAAGTAGGAGTGCCTCAACTTCTATTGAGCACCTCTGAGACAGGCACTATACAAGGCCCTGGGGCACAAAGATAAAAAGTCACAATCATCCCCATCAAAAGGCCACAAGCCTTGTAAACACATCAGCAGAGGACTTATCTCCTAGGACTGCAGTGTGATCACCACTAAATGATGTCACCACAGTGGACAAACTACTCCTGTGTGTGTATATATATATATAGTATGTGTTGGAAAATAGCCACGGGAGGTAAGACTCAAGATGGGAAATAAATTTAGGAGTGTAACAAGGTTCTAACCCTGACTCTGACAGTCCTAGCTGTGAACTTCAGTTTTCTTAACCTTGAGATCTGTCGTGCTTTTAGCGTGCTGAAGAATCATTTGGGAATGCTCATTAAAATCTTAATAGATCCCTGAGTCTCACCCTAATTTTACTGAATCGGAAGGGCTTAAGGTAGGATCCCAATTCTGCATTTTAACACCCGCCTCACCCCTCTGAGCAATTCTGACGCTGGCAGACTACCACCACGGTTTGGGAAGTACTGCTTAATAGGGAGATAATGACCTGCGTCAGGGATAGGTCTGGCGAGCGATTCAAAAGCTAATAAGGCAACATGTGTGAAAACACCTTGTGAACCTGAGTGCAAACCAATTATTTGGAAATAATAGTAATCCAATAATCCAAATAATATCCAAAAAAATCTAAATAATACTAATAGTAAAATAAGTGGAAGACGCACTGCAAACGCGGCACAGTCCACTCAAGCACAGTTGACATGACTGTCTCTTTAAGACGCCCCCCCCCTTTCCCCCGTTTACCTCTCGTGGGGCGTGCGCCCCGGCGGCGGCGCGTGCGTGCTGGCAGCCGTCGAGCGCCAGGGCCTCCCAGCGGGGCGGTCGCGGCGGCGCGACGCCGGCGCTTGTTGCGTGCGCGCCTGGCTCCACCCCTTCCCCTCCCCTTCCTCTCCCCCTCCACTCCCCCTCCTCTCCTCCTCCGTGGGCCTCCCCCGCCCGCGCGGTACAGCTGGGCCAGTGACGCGAGAGCTGCTGCCGCCGCCACTGCTGCTGCGTTCTCTTCTCCTCAGCCGGCGACAGTCTCGCGCCCTGCCTCCCGCCTCCTCCTCCCGGAGCGCCGGCCAGCGCCATCCAGACAAGGGCAAGCGCGGCACGCGGGGCCTCGCCTAGACCCGAGAAACCTGCGGGAGCGCGCAGGCAGCGGAGCGAATCCCAGCGCCACAGAAGCTGCGAGCGCCCCCATCCCGGAGGTCGCCGCACCGCTCCCCTGGTAAGTTGTCACCGTGGCCGGGGGGCGGTGGGGTCGGGCATTGTGTCACTGGCGCTCCCGGCCAGCTGTCAGGGGCGCGGGGCCGGCGCGCACCGCCCGTGAGGGACACTGGGGAGCCCCGCCGGCCGCCCGGCGTCGGCTGCTCTGCGCCAGTTCGGCTGTCACCCGGCCGCGAGCCCCGCGCTGGGGTGGGCCAGCCGGGCACGGTGCCGGGAGGGCAGCCAGGAGAGGCTGTGCTGAGGCCGAGAGGAGGACCAGGCGGCGGGTTTGCGGCCGGGAGCTCAGTGACCGGAATCAGGGCGCGCCGCTCTGGCCTCGCGGGGCGTTCGGGGTCGCGCTCGCTGTCGGGGAGTTCAGGGTGGAGACCACAGTTGGCGGGTCGCTGGAGAGGAGGTAAGCAGAGGTCCTCTTCCTTACTACTGTTATTATTTTCCCCGCCAGCCGACCCAAGCTGCAGGTCCTGCGTGGGGGCAGGGTTGGCTTAGCGACAGTGGCTTTCCTGAGCAAACCTTGCAGCCCGTGTGTGTGAACCCCGGAGCTTTCTGCAGCCCCCGCGTCTCGTCTGGTCTTTAATCTCAAAAAACTTTTCTTATGATCCGGACTGAGACTCACCGAAACCACTTCCTGTTTATATATGTAGACTTTCTGTTTTACTCCTGCTTTTTCAGCGACTCCAGATATTAAATGTAGGTCTGCCTCTCCCACAGAGTTGTGGCTGTGGGGCTGCCGAACTGGAAAAAGTTACCGGTAAGGAGCTGAGGAGGGAGAGGTGGTTTAGGGGACCGTAAAACCTAGAAGAAAAGGGGCGTCAGAATCAGGTCTCTGGCTGGTTTGAGGGAAGTTCACATCTTGGCAAAGAGGCCTAATGCTGCTGTTCCCACAGAATGTTCTCTCCGTGGCAGGCGGCTCCCTCCCTGGTCTTTGTTGCTCCTGGTAACTGGGCTTGTGTGTGTTCTGTACAGAGGAGCAATAAAACTATCCAGTTCATTTAAACTTAGGTATTTACTCTCTTTCTAGATCTACAGAGGTCGGGAGTGTGTCTTTCATTTTTTTTCACAGTGCTTAATTCATTTCTGTTCTTTTCATTACTGAGGTTTAAAATATACTAGTATGTATGAATGACACACACACACACACACACACCACCCCCCCTTTCTGTTTTGGGAATTCCACACCCAAATTGTCACCATCTAGTAGAGGCTAGTAGAGACATGTGCTTGGCATTAAGATCTGAATTTTCTGGTCTTTGCAATGTTAGCTGGATGTATATTCAACCAGAAATGAAAAATTTCAAAGCACTGCTTCTCAGATCCTGAGTACCCTTAACTCTTCAACGTACACATTTATGGTATGCTTGCACAACATTCATTTGTTCATTCATTCTTTCATTCGGTGCTCACAAATATTTTTGTGATACACAATGTATGCCAGACACTGTGCTAGGTATTGGGGATACTGCAATGAATAAGACAGAACCCAGCCAATGCCCTCATGGAGTTCAGTCTTTAAGTCAAGTTTATTTTGGTTTATGTTGATTTTCGTTGGTGGCCATTTGCTGCTTAAGGAACTTCTGCCCAATGAGTTAAATAGGACACAATACTGATATGAAGCCTGATAAATAGGACTTCCTGTCCACAGAATGACTTTTTGGATACAGAGCTTCCTGTCCACAGAACAACTTTTTGCTCTTTTCATTACTGTGGTTTAAAATATATGTATGAATGATGCACACAGTAGAAGTGGCATATGAAATAAGTGCTCACCTACAACTTGACTGGGACAGGTCCCTGGGTGCTCAGAGTGGGGCCTGCCTCTGCCTTTGCCCTGCAGTGTTTAAATCCTGAGCCAAACCCACTGTCAGATGGCAGAGTTCAGCTTATTTGCTGGGGCCTGCCTTTTCAAAGCCCAGAATTTGGGCAGATAGAAGAGAAAGTAAGGTAAAATAAGGTGTTACAGATGGAGGCTGGCAGATGAAGAGACCTCAGCACTTTGTCTGGTTTCCTGGCATGTCTCCATCTCGTGGTGATTGAACGTGTGTTCTTATGCAATGGTTCATCTCCTGGCAGGGGATTTCCTCCTTTGCTGTTGCTGGGGCAGCAATTCCTACAGCTACCCTCTCCCTGTGTACACATACATACCGACATATCCTCCAAAGGTAGTGATTCAATTGGCTTATTAAAAGTACATATTTCAGATTTATTGCTGCTAAGCATTGTTTCACTCCCTCAATGGTTTTCCATCCCCAGATAAAAAACTTGTCTTATGTTTTAAATTTTTCCTTGTGCTCTTTTTCCATATTCTTAGCTCTTTGGACAACCAGGTAACTACTGGTATCTGTTTGTGGTCTCAGAGAATTACAATATCTCTAAGAAAAATTAGCGAGTCACATAATTTTACTCATTTCCTTACCCAAACAAGTGAAGTGGGGAGAATGTCTTTAGCAGAGCCTCTTGCAGGCAGAGAAGGAAGGTCAGAGAGTGCCTGTGCTTGTTTTTTCCTTTTAGTTCCCCATTTACCAAGGGACAAATCACTGAGAGGCAGTAGCAGGGCTATAATGCCTTCTTGCAGGTCTGAAATATCTACAGAGGCCTGAATGTCAGCAGAGCCACTGGGCCCAGTTGTGTAATTGCCATGCATGAAGCATTTTACTGAGCTGAACTGACATGCGATCTCCTAGTTGAAGCTAACCAGCAGTATTCATTTTCCCTCTTATATCTGCTTGGGCAGCAGGGATATCTTTTTTAGGGGGCATTCCCTGAAGCAGTAAGAGAAAGATGAGAAGCAACAAATAAAGGAAGAAGCCCAGTGCCTTTTTTCCCCCAAAAAATTTGAAAGCAGATATTGTTCCTGTGCAGACTTAGGTATTGGGGATTAAGACACTTGGGTTAAATATAAATAAGCATTGGAACAAATGCATATATAATAGAGACTCTTTCCCCTGGTTTCTCCTCAAGATGGCTTCAGTTTAGAGGTCACGCATATATCCCATTGTAGCAAGATTTCAGTTAATGGAATTAAAAAAAAATTAATATTCTTAAATTATGTTGCCACATTGCAGGGAACATGGAAACTAGAGCAGTGAGAAACAATGCCTGATGCCTGTAATGTGGGACGGCTATTTCCATATTGGTGGGAGTGAAGGATGCAGCTTGAGGTTGGGGCTAGGAGTTTTGTGATGAGTATTTGAAGCTGCTAACAGCTGTGGATCTGAGACCAGTGAAGCAATTTCAGGACAGCATTGGGGTGACCATTCTTGAGCATCTAGATACCTGTTCACTCCCACCCTGGCCTGGATTCAAGGCAACAGCCATTGTTCCCTAGGATGATTGTAAGTTTATGAGTGTCTCTTACAATTGTAGAAAGCTTTCTTTGAAAAGGTAGAGGTGCTGGGGAAACAGTTACCTCCTACAAGGCTTAGGTTTTAGTGGCAGAGCCTGTCAGGCACCTGTGTATGTGCTCCCATGTTTCAGTGAAGGTGTCCTTTTTCTTTCCCTTTTAGTCCTTTGGCCTAGAAACCAGCAGGGTTCCTTCTATCTGCTCTCTCATCTTCTGGTTCTTACCAGAGTGTGGAAGTCTCTAACTCTGCTGGTAGACCTTGCAGTGGCACCAAGCTGGGTCACTTCAGCCATGAAAGGCCACCTGTGCTATTGTCATGGTTGGACAGTTGAGTCCCTGTGAAGGTACTGGTATAACAACAGCAGAAAATGAAACTATAGTGAGAACTAAATGGGTTTCACAGACGCTGCTGTTGCCCGTGATACATTCTCCCTCCCTGGCTTTTACATCTCAAAAAAGGAAAATAGCCACCCTTGAAACATCTGAAGGCTGCATGCCAAGAATCAGAAAGAGAATGTTATTGAAGCATTTTTTTCAGGCAGAAACAGATGTAGTTCCCTGTTACTGTCTCCAGTATTAGTAGATCCTTAAAATTATCTGATAGCTGTGTGCCCTTAAATGTACTACCACCTCCCACACACATATACAAGTGTTATACTGTTTTGGGGTTGGTTTTTTTTTTTTTTTTTTTTTTTTTGTGTGTGTGTGTGTGTGTGTGTGTGTGTGTGTGTGTGTGTGTGTGTTTATTTGGCAGGGCCCCTTCTCCTTGATTTGGGTAAAATTAACCTTGGATTCCTGATGACAGTTATAGGTTCTAAGTTGGTTTGCAGACTGCAGTTGGTGACTGACAATTCTTTATTACTCAGAAGAGGATCTTTTGTGGTGAAAAATGAAATGATTCAGGATTCTTTTCTACTGTACTTGGAGCTAGGACACAAAACCTCACGAGAAGAGACACAAATAAGGGCTTTTTCCCAGCTCCCCCTCAACCTACCCTCCCTTTCTTATCCTTTCTTAAGGAGGGGAAACATCCAGTCTTTCCAAGTCCAGTCTCCTACCAGTAGTGACTTGCCTTCACCCACAGAAGTTTAAGATCAGAGTGTGGAATTGCTCTGTGTGTAGGAGCAATTGCTGAAATTTTGGCTAGACTAGGCTTTGGCTTCTGATAAAGCCAGTAAAATGAAACTGGCTTCTGAAAATGGGATAGTAGCGTTTATTCCATTCTGTCTTATTTGGGCTATTCTCAGTAGACCTCAGTGAGCTAAGTGAGAGGAAGTTTAAAAAAGGGAACTTGAAAAAGAACAAGGTGGTTTTGCTTATTTTGCATTTTAAATTGTAGCTAGGCAAACTGAGGGAAGACTGAGGGTTTTGTTTTCTTTAAAATCAACAATACACTGAGACAATATTGCAGAAAGCTTGGGAAATGAGAAAAAAAATCACCATGATTCTACCATCCTAATAAAAACATCATTTCCATGTATTCTATTTTTTGTTTTAGTTGGTAATCCCAGTACATTCAATTTTGTGTTTTGTTTTTTTCACATAGCATTATACCATAAACATTTTCCTTATCATGGCACATAGCCTTTTGTAATTATTTTAATGGCTTTATAATATTCCGTTATAGATAATTTGTGATTTAAATATACTCTCTTATACATCTA